GCTATAATGCCAATTGTGTGTGCACATATGTGTGCATATAGCACAATAACAAGGTCCATTAAAAGGTGTGCCACAAAGTAGACAATTAACAGCCTATCAAGACCACTAAAAATTCCCTTAACTCAACAATTCAGCTTAGAATGTCATAGAAGGAGATGTGGTAAATAGTAAATCTGCCCTACAGAATTCCAGACACTTGACACCTAGACACTCAGTTCTGCAGTAAACAAGAAAGAAAAGGTAGAAATAATACACAGAACAATTAACCATCCCTGCCCACAGAACACCAACAGCCAGGCATCTGACTTGCAGGTAATATGCTAGAGTATTCTTCTCTGGAAAAATTCAAATATCCTCAGAAGATACACTTCCATGTTTCAGCATTTGACTTCCATCTCAAAGTCTGGCACTTCAGGTGATCACCTCAAATCAAAGCCAGCAGTAGACAAGCTCTATTCATGAACACAAGCTCCTAATTCAAATGTTCAGTGCTTCATGTTTAAATATGAATAGACAAATAAAGTTTACCAAAGGCTTCAGAGGATGGGCTCTAACATGAAAGAGATAGTACAAGATAAAGAAGCAGGACAAGGGACTGATCCTTGAGGAATAAGACTGCTGGATAAAGAACACTATAAAAATAAATAAATAAATAAATAAATAAATAAATAAAAACTTTAGTAGTGCTATTTTCTAAAATGCCTGTATACATTTATATCCCCAGCAGAAGAGCATAATTTGTTTGATGCACTTCCTCTCCAACACTCGTCAGTTTTTTACATTAGTGTTTGTTATTTTAGCCATTCAATTAGCATTCTTCCGATTACTAAAGAGGTTGAGCATTTACTCATATGTTTATTGGCCATTCTGATATACTTTTTTTGAAGTACACTTAAAGTTTCCTATTTTTCTATTGTGTTATCTTTTTCTCATGGATTTCTACTTTGCAGTTACATGGACAGCAAATACCTTTTCCCATCCTGTGGCTTGCCTTCAACCTTTCTAATGGTGTCTTATGATGAGAAAGTCTTAGATTTTAATATAGTACAAGTTATCAATCTCCTTCATAGTTAATGTTTTCTGTGTCTTGCTTAAAAGAAGTCTTTCCCCACCCCAAGGTATCAAAATATCCTCATGTATTATCTTTTAGAAGCTTTATTGTTATGCCTTCCACATTTATGTCTACAGTGTACCATGAATTGATGTCTGTGTATGAGCCAATTTTTTTTTTCTCTCATGTGGATATCCAAATGTCCTAGTCAGTTTTACTGGAAAGACCATCCTTTTCCACCTGCTCTGCAGTGTCATCACTGTCATAAACAAACATTTTTATACACTTGGGTCTATTTCTGGGCTCTCTATTTTATTCCATTAATCTATTTATCCTAGCTTTAATATCACACTATATTAATTATTGTAACTTTAAAATAAATCTTGATATGTAGTATATCAAGGTCTTTCATAAAAGTGTCTTAGGTATTGCTGGCACTTTGCATGTCCACATATATCTTAGAAAAAGTAGGTCGATTTCTAAATAATACTTGCCAGAATTTTCATCAGGATATTATAATACGGAGTCTTTAAAACCATGAACATGGTATAATTTCTCCTTTGGTTAGGTCATCTTTTATTTTTCTCAAGAATGTAAAGTTTTTTTATTGTGTCTTTACTCATTTTTTTTGTTAGATTTATTTCTAGAAATTTGCACATTTTTTGCTGTTATGTACTGTATTTTAAAATAAAACCATGAACATGGTATAATTTCTCCTTTGGTTAGGTCATCTTTTATTTTTCTCAAGAACGTAAAGTTTTTTGATTGTGTCTTTACTCATTTTTTTTGTTAGATTTATTTCTAGAAATTTGCACATTTTTTGCTGTTATGTACTGTATTTTAAAATTTTATTTTCTGTTTCTGGTATAAGAACACATAAGTGGTTTTTCCATACCAACCTTGGAACCAGCAATCTTGTTTCTACATAAGTGATCTTCATAATGTTTCTGTAGTTCTTTTGGGATTCTTTATGTAAACAATCATATCACTTGCAAATATGACAGTTCTATTGTTCTCCTTTCCAACCATATATTTTTATTTCTTTTTCTTCCTATACTTACAGCACTTAAAAGACATAACTGACTTGTTTCAGATTTCAAATATAAAACTTTCAACAGTTCACCATAACGTTTGAAGTACTGTAATCTGTACACTTTTTGTAGGTACACTTTATCAGATTCAGAAAACTCTCTTCTAATTCACTAATTGGCTAAGAGTTTCTTTTTTCAAAAATCACAACTGAATATCTAAATCATCACTTTTTCTCCATCTACTGAAACAATCACGATATTTCTCCTTACTTCTGCTAATACAATGGATTACAACTAATTATCAAATGTTAGACCAACCTTACATTCTTAAAATAATCTCAATGTGATCACAATACATTACTCTTTTTAAAAATTGCTGGTCTCCGTTTCTTAGTATTTTGGGTTTGTTATTTTGTTTTAATTTATATTCATGAATGAAACTGGCCTATAATTTTCCTTTCTCATAATATGCTTCTTGGGTTTTGGCATCATGGTTATTCTGGCCTCAAACTGTATTGTGATGTATTCCTTCTTTTTCTAATCTCTAAATGAGCTTGTAGAAGGCTGATGTTATTTCTTCCTTAAATACTGAATAGAATTCACTGGTGAAGCTACCTGGGCCTAGAGTTTCCTCTGTGGAAGTTTTAAATTATGGATTCGTTTCTTTAATTCACATTTTCTCTTCCTTCATTTGTCAATTTTGGTAAGTTGTGTTTATCTAGAATTGCACCCATATTGTCTACATCTTCAAATTTGTTCATTTAAAGTTCATGTCTGTGGTTGGCCAGTTAGCTCAGTTGGTTAGAGCATGGTGCTGATAACA